ACCTCGCGCAGTTTTAATAAATCCTGCACTGGATTTGTCATCTGATCCGGCGTTACGGATCGTCTCAGATGGTGGGTGCGGCCAAAGCAGCTGGTACCAGCAAAGTAGCCGATGGGATGTGCTATGGTTCGTAAAGAAGTAAGCGCCTGCGTCGCACTCAGCCCACTTTCCGTCAACAGCTGCGCATTCCCTCACAGAAGTTGGCTTCTTCTCGCTGACCTGCGCATCGAGTTGCGTCGACGGCCTTGTTGGTTGGATCAGGCACATTGCAGTTGGACCAACTTCAAGTAAAAAAATCCACGTGTCACTTGCACCCGTATGCTCTGGATTTCGTGGCCCCACTCGCTCCAGGACCCCCGGTCACCCAGGGGGTCGCCCGAAATCCGCTGGTTGACCCACCAGGTCGGCCGCCCCCGCCCCCATACATCCGGGCCCCGATTTTGCCAATCACATGCGTCCATTCTCAAAGCAGCCAATCACAGCAAGCAACGTCTTTTGCTACCGATTCCTCTCCCGTGCCGTGTATTAGCAGAGCAACTGGAGACTGCTGCTGGTAGAGGCTACTGAAGCTGTGTGGACCTTGCATCCTACGTCACGAAGATGGAGGTACGCAATGTACGTATTCATATTGTACACTGACGCCTCGATAGCAATCATTTGACGCCATGGCAAACAACGGGATCAAAGACTGGCGTTCCAGGGGCGGCTGCATTGCCGGGTACGCCGCGTACATGGGTCGAGTGTACTAGTACAGTACAATAGCGGAGCTCCCCTTTGGGCGTGACCTTGCCGACAACGCTCTCAGGCTACCTCTACTCGAGGCCCAAGACGGCGTCCAACACGCACCAAGCCGCGCTCCGCTACCACTGGCCCGTTCTTCGAGCCTGCGTCTGGTTCAACGTCTGGCGAGTCCAGAACGATCGCGTCTTTCGCGCCGACCTACCGCTGCCAAGTCTGTGGACGATTGCAGTCAAGGTGGCGCGTGTCGCTCAACTGCACTTGCACCACAGCCTCGTACAAGAGCCCGAGCAGCCTGCGCTATGTCGGCTTCTCCGGCTCCTCGCCCAACACGAGTGGCCGCGACGTCATCTTGTCCCGCGGATCGCGATCCTGCCTCCGTCAGTCTAAATCAAGGTTCTCCGCCGAATGTACACAACGAAAAAGTCGGGCAATTATATTTAGCATTGTTTTATCTATGGGAATAGACCACCCACTTTAACAACAACAAATAGCCGACCTCGACGATGTAGTCGATGTCGACTACACCCGCCCCATCAAACACCAGCTCGAACTGGCGCTGCTAGAAGTCGTCAACCACGCCTCGAGCACGATGGCTGATCTCCTCAAGGACCGGGATGTGGGCATGGAGGCTGACGACACTTCAGTTTTCTGTCGACGTTTCGACTCGCTCGCGGATCTTCGCATGGCTTTCGGCGAGTTTGTTATCCCGAGCACTAGTGCCAAAGGTACGAAATCTTTCCTGTGAACGTACACACACTGTAGACAATGGCGCCTCCGTTGGTCTAGGAATGGCCGAAGTCCCGGTCGAGGACGAGACGCAGATCGACGAGCTTCTCAGCGCCGTGGCAGCGTTTCAAGCTGGTGACCTCCCGGACGTCCAAATTGGCTTCGACGCCAACGAGGTCAGTCTTTCCAAGGTCAGCCAGTCCACCTCGATGAGCACCATCTCTGGTACTCATCTTTCATAACACTTGCTTTCGGTACAATCATGACTTAGCCCCTAAAGTGCGTTCGGATCTGGCACTCTTAGAGGCCACGGCCAACTACTTTCGTAATTTACACGCGAAGGAGAACGGTCAGCGATGTGCTACATGTCATTTCGTGACGCCAATGTAGGGTCGGCGAACGTGGAAGCCAAGTTTAACTCGCTAGCAGGAAGATGATACAAGAAGGCCCCCAGGCTAGTGGAGACTCCGACGACGTCGGCCATTTTCAAGAGGAACGTCATCGTCGAAACCGCGAAGGGTCGGTATCGGCTCCTCTCCGTGTACGTCAAGTCGTACAACACGGGGCGCGTCGAGATGTCGGCCAGCGCCACAAAGACCACCATGATCTACGTGTGTGGGGTCGAGTGGGACACTTTCCAGTACTAGTACGTGCTCAAGAGCAACAACGACCACGTCTCCTTCCGCGGCGACGAAGTAAAGGCTTTTTTACAATTAACGCCGCTTGGATGTTAAAAATCTCTAGAGATATCCTCATTGTACACGCAATGCAACAGGACGCCGGTCACCCGGAGGGTCGCCCGAAACCAGCGGGTGCGGCCGGCGAGGCCCCGACCCCCCACCCGAGGCTCATTTTTACCCGCGGGGTCGCTCAAAATCCGGAAGACCCCCGAAATTTAGACCCGGCTTTTGTAACAGATACAAGTACATGGGTGACCAGCGGTCCTCTCGCTACTCACTTTTCCATTTGCCATGCGCGGTGCAAGCATCGTCCTCTCCGCGGCCGTCGCGTCGGCGCTCGGGGCCAACCCGGTCATCTACGAGATCTCGACACGCCCGTGGCTCTACGAGCTCTCGCTCAAGTACAACCGGCCCATGTCGCTCGACGATCCGTCTGCACTCGCGCTCATCCAGAAGGAGCTGCTGGCACTCAAGGCCTCTTACAACCCCGACTACATCTGGATGATGGGGGTGTGGCAGCTCGGTGCATATGGCCTGAACCTCGACCAGACCACCAAGAACGACGAGTTC